GTATATGTAAATTGTTCAGCCTTAGCGGTGCTGGTACAGAACTACTCGCATGTGTGTCGTCAAGTACCTATTATTCCATGTGGAATACCACAATGGGAAAAACAGACATACTTTACCTTCATACAGATGTTACAAGATAGTCTAAAATGATGCTTGAAGTGCAATTATATACATGGTGTCCAGAAAGACTAGGGTGTATTTGTATCTGCGTTGTCTTTGTAACGACGAGGTTCGGAGGGATAGGTTGTTTCACTACTTTTTGGAGATTTAATGACCATGGAAGTGTATCCGGGAGACTATCATGCTTATTGCGTACGCCCCTATTATCGCAATGGTGATCCGATGATCATAGATCAACGATTATATCGGGCAAAATTCAATGTATGGAATGCACCGAAGGACGATACCATTAGAAAATGGATTCGAATGTTCGAGAATGCCGGTTCGACTGCAAAAATTCACAATCCAGGTTGCCCGCATTCTGTTCGAACTCAACAAACGATTGAAGAAATGAGACTGTCAGTGCGTGAAAATCCGTCCCAATCAGTTCGCAAACGCAGTCAAGAACTTGACATCAAAAAATCGTCGTTACAGAAGATTGTGAAGCAAGATTTACATTTTACAACCTATAAAATTCAGTTAGTTCAAAAACTGAACGATACAGATTATTCTCTCCGACTGAATTTTGCAAATGAAATGCTTCAACGCTTTTCAACGTTTGAAAGCGAACTTTCACTTAAATGGTCACGTAAACAAACAGAACTGTAGCTACTGGGCCAACGAATAGCCAAGACATAAACATGAACAACCACTACATAGTCCAAAAGTTATTTGCGTGGACTGGACTACCATGTCTGGTGAAGACATCATTGGGCCTTGTTTCTTTGAAGACCGGCGAGAGCGAACACTTACGGTAACCAGTGATGAGAATTGTGACAAGTTAAGAAACTTTTTGGTTCCACAACTGCACGAGTTTGGTGGTTTTAATGTGGAATAGCGATTTCAACAAAATGGGACCACTTGCCACACCTCAAACCAATCGCTTGCGGTTGTCAATCAATTTTTCGCGGAAAAAGTGATCTCTTGTCGAGGTACCATCAACTGGCCACCGAGAAGTCTCGACTTCACACCTCCTAATTATTTTTTATGGGGATACCTTAAAGAGAAGGTCCATACCAATATCTATACCGAAATGGCCGCCGTTTCTAAGGAGATGTACAGACGCTAGCGACTAATTTCCAAAACTTTGAATTTACAAACACCCCTACCCTTTCTGGACACCCTGTACATACGTCGGTATAATAATTGCTTAACTGAAATGAGATTTACGCATACGAACTGATGCATTCCTGATTCAGGTCTAAAAGGCGTCATCGGTTGAAATTTCTTTCTAACGTTTCGCTAGCACAAAAACTTCTTTAGAGGTGTTTCCATTTCTGATGCTGGATGTGGTCTACGTTAGGACGTTTAAGTGATTTAATAGTGTAGTAAATTAAAAATGAATTTGATAGTTTGTCATAAATTAGGAAATAAAGGAACACTACGTATCCCAAGGTCATGAGTCATGAGATTCGAAACTACCTCTAACTGCGTTGGATTGAGTTATGGAGAAGTTCGCGTTATCAGAGGTTGAAAGTTTAACTATATTTCCATGTGGCTAGCAAACCGTTAAAGAAAATTTGAATATTGGAGATTTTACGGTAAGAATCCTACCTAAAAGCAAACTCATTTCTGCATCCATAATCGTTTTGGGGGTCATTGTACCGTTGTCCAGTGCTGATCGAACCGTTTATTATAAATAAATGCCTTTTGTCTCGAATGATCGCTTGATGATGTGGTTACAAAAAAAAACTGGCTTTTTGTATGATTATTTTTGTCAATCACTTGTTTTGTAAATTCCGTACGTTCCATAAAAGACTTTAAGATAGCTATAACTACAACCAATTGTTTTAAAACACAGTTTTTAATTCTTATTTGAAAAATCTTTATTTGTATTTACAAATGAAACGAGAATTTATATTTCTCTTTCTGACGCAACTCCAGCTTCTTGTTTACTCGAGTTATTGGCAATTAAGAAAGTTTTGCACAAAAAAAAACATTACTAGCAAGTTGTATTTCTTTTAGGGCACGTGCCTGCGAGTTATTACTCCTTTGTCCTTGCCCTCACCATCCATTTCACCTTCATTTTCGGATGGCGCCCTCATTCACAAATTAACATTTCTCCTCCGCTGTTGACGGATCCTCCTACACCACCTTCACTTCTTTAGTTTTCCACCAGGTGAGGACCTGGAGGCTAATGCTGACCGATTTTATTTACCTTCCGGTGTACCTTGAGAAAATACTGCTATTGCATATAAACTTTGCCATCCCTTATCACCTCGTTGGGGATGGAATTTCGATAGTACCGGGTACTCGGAGCAGTTAATGCTGGGTACACAGTGTAACGGGCCAGGCAGATCCGCGCGATATCGCCATTGTGCACGGTTAAGGGGTTATAGGTGAGAGGGCGCGTCGGAAGAGGACCATCGATCGACACCACATCCCGCCAACGGTAGTAGACATCTTAGCGTCCAAGGAGGTGGACGCATTCTAAGACTACCAGTTGTGAAATGTGGGAATATTTCTCCACCATGATTTTATTCATCATCGAACAGGAGCCCGAAGACTAAATGTAATACAGTGTAAGGGTATACCCATCTTTAATTTCGATATTTTTTGGTTTTTATTTTATTTGGATTTTCTGTTTTCTTTGATTTAGAATGTACGTTTGGTTTTGTGTAAAATCTTTATGTGTATTTAATAAAATATTCGAAGCTAATTTTTCCTTTCTGTTATTAAATAATTCAAGACCTAGACTTGCGTTATCGGGAGGTATCATCCGGTGCATCTTTAATTTAAATTCACTTTTTACCTGATTCAAGAATTTTACAAGAGACGAAAATAAAAAATTAATAGATTCTGCTTAAATTTTTTCTCACTTGAGAATGTAATTTTTACAGTGCAATGATGTCATTATACAAAAAAATATTTAGGCCTTTTTATGATTCTGCACAGAATAATCCAAATGTATAAGTATCTTTAAAGTACGTCAATTTCAACTTTTCAAACTTACTTGCACAAAGTCGTTAAAATAATGTGAAAGTGTTTATCGCGTTTAACGGTTTTAATTAGACGATAAGCGTCAACGTGATAACATAGATTTAATGAAGCCAATAAAGGCCCCACTAGGGAGAAAACTTCATGATTACAAACGTTCGTTTTTCTGTCTGCAAAAATAACTCGCCCCTGCGGCACTACGATTTCACTGTCTTAATTACACAGATAAGTAATATCAAATTAACAGTTTATTCGCTTAATATAAAAATTTCGACCTTCGTGGGTTTACAAGGGTAAACGCGAGTTGCTTAATTGTATTCGGGTCTTTAAAATAACGATAATGATAAAAAATTGCAACAATCTTTTGTTTATT